ACGGACCGATAGTCTCTACAACAAATGGCACAAATATGTAGTCATCTCTCAGAGACTCATATTTGCGCCACTTACTCAGTTCAGCTGCCTCTGATGCCGCCCCGGCTTTAAACGAGGTACCCCTGAGATGAGAGGCCGCCAGAGTGTCTACGCAAGTAGCATCCCACACGGGGGTTTTACCTCTCTCCCAAGGGACCAATGTCATACCGTCGGGTCTCTTGCCATAGTCTCTAAATATTCCACAAGGCTCTAAAACCGAGGGAACATTTAAAGAGACAAGAGCCCTTCGGATGACATCGTTCAAAGAACTGTGTCGTGAAAACCTTATTGAATATATCCACCAATATCTATTGTTGAATATATCCACCAATATCTATTAAAAATTGTTTTAACCACTAAACTTCTTTTGTCACATCACAGGCGGCCATGAATTCAGCTTTTATAGTGGACAAATCAACTGTTTGTTGCTTTTTGCTCGCCTAAGTAACAGGGCCATTGTTCATGATAAATATGTAACCAGTTGTTGATTTTCTGGATTCTAAATCATTAGCATAATCTGCACCTGAGTATCCATCAAGTTCACTATCGCCTTTAAACTCTATTCCAATACTTTTTTTGTAGCAATTAAATACCTTATAATACGTTTTACAGATTTAACATGTTCAATACTTGGATTATTTACAAATCAACTCACAACATTGACCGAGAATGAAATATCTGGACGGGATACTGAGGCTAAAAATAAAAGACAACCTACTTGATAAGAAAAATTTAAAATTTCGTGTAAATTTTTTACATATGATACATTATAATCAATTGGAATATTACATGAGCTTGCATCTGACATGTTAAAATTTTTAGCTACTTGTTCTATGTAACTTTTCTGAGTTTTATTAATTTCTAGACTCACAAAGTAATCTAGCTCTAAAATTTTAACATCAAAATTAGATTTCTATATATTTGTTACTGAATTTAAAACGGACTTGTTTGATGAAAAGATAAGGCAATCGTCCTCAAATAATATTAATAACACCTTTTCATTATGAATATTACCTATGAATAAATAGCCATCTGATTTACACTGATTAAATCCATATGACTTCATAAAAGCTGTAAATTTGGTGTTCCAGCAGCGAGGTGCCTGCTTGAGGCCATTGTTTAGGTTACATACCATTAAAGTATACTGAAAAAACAAAAAAAAAATATAGCCTGTGTCTTTTCCACAGCTAAAACGAATCTAACGGCACTCTGTGTTCAAATTCATCAAGTTCTTTAGGATATAAAGCGTGCCAAAGAAATAGAAATTCACAACAAACAATACAACACACACCCTAAAACACATATTATTATACCTGCTTAAATACGTACACTTGAAATACATCATCCTCATTCTGAAGCACTAGACCATGCCAACGAAGTAAAAATTTTTGGATGGAAACTAAAAATCAAAAAATAATGATAGACAAAACACTCCATACATTTACAGCGACTCCGTGTTAACTTCTGCGTAGTGGCGGTGAAAGAATATCCACTACCCCATAATATCATCTCGTAGGTATCGTAAGAGGCAACAGAGGGAAACAAACCATGAACAGCAGCCTCTTCCTCATAATAACTTAAAAAAAACTGCGGATGTCCAACCGCCTGCCAAGCGTGGCAACTATGGCAAATCAGTATATGGGAGAGACCTATGTTCAGCTGTGGACTTTTAAGAGGTTACAGCCTTCACAGTGTTAACAACAAAGGGGTTATTTTGTTTATTGTGTTCTAAAATATATTTCCGAGAAATATATAAGAAAAGGTTAATTTTTAAAAATAATAAAAGTGTGAGAGCGGATGTTCAACTTGCTCTCTTGCTTACGCAATTAATCATTATCAACAATAAAACAGCGTAATGCACTATACATTCAGTATAGAGCAATTACAGTTTGACCATACCGTAATATTATGTGCCAGTCACAATCATACAGAAGTATAACGTGAAGGACGTCAATACATGATAACACAAAAGTATGCAAACCAACAGCAATACTACCCATCTCAATGTATTACAGGGGAGCCTCTCAGTAACACCATCCTCCTTGCTTGCACCATAATAACCACCACAATGGACAGAATCAAGATACTATCTTAGCATTCGTAGAATAAGACGCCTACAGTGAACTTTATACTGTACAAGCGAGTGTGGGGGGGGGGGTTCTCGATATACCATCAATTCCACCCCGCCACCATCGATATGACACTCCGCTAGAGTGATACAACCTCTCGCTCACTCTCGATCCAGCCAGTTTATACAGACGCGCCGACATATTAATTAAGTAATATATTATTTGCATTTTCGTACAGTATTTACACATCTTATCCGTTACTTCGAAACCATGGTTATAAATGCACCTAAAACAGTGGCGGTTGCAAATAATTTTAGATGCATAAGTTTGCGGGAATGTGTGTTATAATAAACAGAGCATGGTGACGGCGTCACTTAAAACGTACGTAGCGTTCTATATTGCTTTTTTTTCGTGAGAGTGTAATACACTCTTGCACTGAAACGATTTCTACAAAGGAAAATAAATCTAACCGTATCATTTGTAGATAATTCAATAACGAAGACGCACCCGTTTCTTCGATATTGAATTGTCTACAAATTAGACAGTTAGATAACTAATCTGTGTTACGATGTGTTCACAACAACGCAAGATTATTCACCTCACCAATCCTCACCAACTTTTTAACTGAGTACTATGACACCAATGAAGCTGCAAAAGCCAAAAGGCTAACAGCACTAACATGATCAGAAACCAGAGAGAGTCTACAAATGGGCAGCCTAAACAGTTAACTCTAATTGTGTTTTGTTGCTACGACTACGAGCCTTGAACACTACGCACTCGTGTTGTGAAAGTTTGATAACTTTACCGTTCTCGTCATGCATTAAGATGCTATCTAGTAATTTCCTGTGTAAGGAAATTGGGTTTTATGTAAACTCTTTTTCGATAAGTGTGTTGATAAAACACTGTTAAACAAAGTGCTTATATTTTACTAGATATTTTAAGAGGAGTCTTCTTAATATACATTATAAATAGTATCGCATCTGGTCAAAATTGGACCATTCAATTGGTTAAAGCGTTTTGAATGAAAAAATAATATAAGCGATCACATTATTTTACCTCACTAAATGACGATATACATACTTAATTTATTTTATTTGCATATCTATGGCACATTAGATTTCGAATGAAAAATTTTATTCTCCTCATCTTGTATTAAAAAAAAAATACAAACATTTTACATGTTCACATATTAATATCTAAAATATAAAAAATTATATTTCATTATTCGTATTTCTTGTGCTGCCATACCATATGCACTGACATACCATTCATCAGATTGCGGTAAAACTTTGTCAACTTATACCTTACATAGTAGTTATATGCATAGTAGAAACAACTTACAGTAAGTGGCACTCTTCCAAATGTAAAACAATATTTCCCCTACTATATATTCTACGACGGCGAGCGCCGGGTAGCTAGACTAGTATAATTATTAATAAATTATAGTTGAATATAAAGAACCGTGTTAGCTCGCTATAAGTGCACGCCGTAAATTTTACAGTACGCGAGCAACTCGGATTCGATCCCCACCGGCAACAATGAAATTGTTAACTGCAATTTTATATTAATTAATGATGACGGGGATAGTACACGCAATTGAGGGAGCGCAAGAACGAGAGCTGCTCTTCAAACTAGGTAGGATACATCATTATATTTTATTACGCCGATCTTAGCCAATTGATTTCTAACATCTTTAATAGATATAGATGTCTATGCACCATAGCATCACAAGTACAAAAAAAAGAAACAATATTTTCACAAATGATCCAAAAGCAATATTATGGTAACAGGTTTAATTTTACCCATCAATAAATTTATATCCTATGATTTTTTCGTCAACTTGAAGGCAGACAAAAAATTTAAATTACAAATGCGAAATAAGCTTCCCTGTGGCTTTTTACACGAAATAATCTTGAATAATTTTGCTCGACAGGTTTAATTTCATATGTGAGTATAAACGTGATTTAGGTTTCATATTTTTTAAATCTCGTTATTTTGGCAGAAACAGTCAATAACAAAAATTTTATATAAAATAATGATACCTTAAATAAAACAAAGAGTGCCCAAGAATTACATATTTATATTACATAATTAAACTCTTAAATCAAGGATTTTTACTTCCTTTGCTATACATACACGGACTGCAAAGACTTTTTTCCTTAGAAAAAAAGACAGCATTCATTATATTATTTGACATATCATGGCAAAAGTTATCAGCGCCCCTTCTCGTCCCGTGCGTGTCGCAAGAGGCGACCAGGGAAGGTTCAACCATCCTGCATTTATATCAGATATAAAATTTCCAGACCGGCGACGGAAAGTAGCATCAAAGATGCGAAACTTAACGTATATATACGTAATAACCACGATTCCCAATCCGGTTGCTAAGCGTGACGATTGTGGTGATACCATGAGAGATGCATATTGAGAAGTACCAATGAATATAATATTACTATGTGGTTTTTTTAATTAATGAAAGCATTTAGAATTTTAAGCAGCTAACTTAAGGAATTTTAATATTTTATGGGACACAGCTAGATTTAAGCTAAGCTAGGCTAAAGATAAGGAATCATATCTATTACATTTACATTCAAATATTAATTATTAATATTATCTTACATACTAAAATCTTATCTGAATTTGTGTCAAATTTTACAATAATAAAGATCATACTTTTCACTTAATACTAACTTACAGCAAAAAGTCAAATTTATTTAAATATGAAATTTACATAACACAAAACTCTTTGAGATTTGAGATTAAATATAAAGCATTTTATAAAATTGCTTTTCATAAATAAAGGTATAAATGTTCAAAACTGTTTTAAGGACGTTCAAATTTTAACCAAACGTATTTTGTTTTGCAGATTAGTCGGCGCTAAAGTGCCGGCCTGGCATGAGGCGACCGCAGCGTCCAGCTTCGTCCCTTTACCTTCACTGCTCACCTCTTTGTGAATCACCCTTCAAAATACCCCCGACCCTTTTTTTCCTGCCCGCTGTAATCATGTTTCTTCCTCTCATTAAAACACAAACAGTTGTTGAAAATTCAAATCAAACTGAACATTTCTCAAACATTACAATTGAACATTTAAATATTTACGATGATAATAATTATAAAGAAAAGTCAGATAACTACTCCAAAGAGCTTATAAATAACTTAAATACTTTATATCCTACATTACCGAATAGACATACAGCGAAGTATACTGAAGTAGATTATAATCAAACAAAAAGTAACGATAATAATAATACTATAGTTGAAACAGAATTCGTACCATATAAAAGCAAGAGCTTTCATCATGAATATGATGAAATTAAAGATGAAAATTTAACTTTATCTTCAAATATTCCTATGGTAACAAAAAATATCAATTTAACAAATTTTGATCAAATTTCAACTGAAAAAAATGACTTGGCAAAGAGCGTACCTCTGTTTGATAACAATACAAATTTGGTTCAAGATATACAAGAAAATAATTTAAATACAAACGAAAATGTTTCAAACAATTACGTAACCAAAGCAATAGATGAATCAATGGGAAAATTAAAAGTGGATAAAGCGACACAAACAAAAATATTCTACGATTACTTTACAACAGTCAAAAAAACGGTTGAATCCAAATCAAGCCAACCTAACATTAACTATGATAAGAAAGGTTTCGACATGGTCGAATTAAACGAAACGATTAATGAAAATAATGATACCAAAGCTGAGATAGGTCGTACTACGGTGTTTTCAAATGATTCATTTTTACAACCTGACACATCCCTTGTTCCTCAAATAACAGGAGTATTGCAATCAACACGACCCCGATTCACGGAAGGTGAGTACGCATTACGTAGTAATATTTGGACGAAATGTTAAACCCCAATTTGTGTTTATGGCTAAAATAACACAACAATTTAACATTTATTTATTGTGGTGGCGCTGTCGTTGCGCCACAAGCGAAACATATCGAAGCCTAAATCGTGCTAACAAAGTTCCGAAGTTAAAGCAGTATATATAGAATAGCTCCGAACTATCACTCGGAGCGTTGGCCGCTCCCGGGTACAACACCTTGCCCGGCGAGAGATCTCCCCTTTTCCTTCCACTCGGCCACATTTATTAAATCCTATTGTTGAATATAGATTTAACCCATAGATTACCTGATATTTTGGCTTACTATTTTGGCAATTATTCTAAGGCTATAAAAAATTCCATGCGGAAAACGAACTCGAATCCGTGCAGCACCGCAAGCAAACAATTAGCAAGATATTGCCGAACAGTCAAAGCCCTCCTATGAATTGAAATAAATTTTCTTTTATTTGGTATATATTAACTTCTAAAATAAAATTGAATTACAGAATTTAAGAGAATCGATTATGCGATATCAGTAAAAAAATCTAATAAAACGCTCTCACAGCTCCACAAAAAATAATGAAGGTCAAAGATATCACCCGCCCTTTGTAATTATCTTCAAATTAGCTTTCCCTTCTAATGAAGGTAACGAGGCGCGTTTTACTAATTTAAATTTAAAAAAATGTACATCAGGGGTGCTATTTTTAAGAGCAATTATTTATAATTTAGCTTAAATTATAACAGGTTATTAAATTTAAACGAACCATGCAAAATTTGAAACAAAATAATCACTTTTGGTAGAATAAATTACTTTCTAATCATGCTGGTGTAATTATTTTGTAAATTGAAAACACATTCATAATAATAATTAATAACTGATAAAGAACATTTTTTATAGAATAAGGGTGACAAACGAGTACGCAGTCCATCTGATGGTAAGTGGTTGCTGTGGGCCATAGATATCTACATCTATTTTCGTTTGCAAATTAAAATGCAGATGTGTGGACGAGGAGTGAGGAGTGAGGACTAAGATAGTAGAGCTCTTTTCCAATAAAATGGGCCTCCGGTTCTCTACTCACCATACGAAACACAGCAGCATAAGGTCGACCACTTACATACGGAATTCCGTTTCGTGAATCCCGAATCGGATTCCGAAACAAAAAAATAAACCCCTTAAATTTGGAGAAATTGCTTACTTTTTAATTCTTTATACTTGTAGTGACAAACAAATAGTCCACCAAGCCAACTTCAAACAAAGACGGCTACAAATGTGTCACCACTGAGAACTACGATGGCAAGACCCCCGGCCTGTAATTGTACTGTTTACTGGCTACCTATGCCTTAAGACCGAAACAATAGTGCAAGCACTGCTATTTGGCAACACAAATAGATAGATGTGGTCCTGTCACGACCTTTATTACCCCGGAAGCATACGAAGGTTCAGGTTCAATTCCTTGCAATAATAGCAACGTGTAATTCAATAGGGAAGTTATAAACTGTTTTAATGGGACTTCTACGCTGAACTATAAGGCTCCTTCGTTAAATAAACTCTCTTGTATCACTATCTCACTCTAACTAGGGTTACCAACCATTCTCTTTTCCGCGGACACTGTCCTCAATCTGGGATTTTTTAAATATGTCCGGCATTTCAATACTGTTCTTTATTTAACTCCCTAACAAAAAACATAGTGAGATTTAGTTAAGTATACAGGATGTAATGTACATAATATTTTTTAGAACTGCCCAGGTAAACTCATAGGTAGAAAAGGAGTCCTTCTACCTCTTGAAGTTCAAGTAACATCTGAAATGTAGTCTAAATCCATTCATCCATCCATTAGAGCCTGTAAAAGTCCACTTCTGAACATAGGCTCCCCCATAGATTGGCTCATAAGAGAGGAATTTTACATTAGTTGACTCGCTTGTTGACGGGTTTTTTATTATTTTGAGTTTTTATAAGAGAATGATGCTGCCTATCTCCCGTTTTATTACCCTCAATTGCCTCTACGCTACGCTCAACAATTTACCTACTCAGCTCACATAATAATTTCAACTAGACCGAATTTCAATCACAAGGACTACGGTGAGGCATCTGCGTAGGACAGGAATTAAAAGAATCTACTTTACAATAATAAAACTTAAATTGAACCTTCCATTAAATTCAATTTGTGTCACACGTGCTGGCAACCACAATATGAGAATAGAAGAAAAAATTATTAAAGAAAAATATGTTCGTATCCATCCACAAATTCAATCTGAGAATGCGAAATTATTTCACACACGTACGCTCCTGCTCCTTTAATAAATTACCGAAAGCTACAGATTTTAGAAAGAAATGTGTTTATCATAAAGATAAATTGTGCGTGAAGTCAATATGAAATAATTTTTCACGCTGATGATGGATACAGCCGGCTACTCCAACTCAGAATTACAACAGATCAGATTTTGTTTCATTTTTAATATTATTTCACGTGAGTGAAGTTACAGGGGAACAGCTAGTTTTATAATATATTTTTTTTAAACTTTGGTCTATAATATATAATAATTTCAATTTCAATCGCCTATAGCAAGATTCCATACGACATTATGCTGTGGAAATAACTAAATTAGACTAATCTAGCTATTTCAACACAAGTAAGGCTTCTGAACTTTATAAAATTTTTATTACACACCATCTACTTACGAGTACCATAAGTAGGGCTGTGTGCTCATTTGTCATCCTTATTTTATAAAAAAGTGCTTAACCCTTGGGCTACTTTGGCTCTTACATGAATGCAATTATTTGACTCCGTTTTATTGTACCTATACATACCAGTTTAGCTGACAGAGTCGCTACAAATTCGGCAATAAATCTTATTATGTACAGTCTCATTAAAGTTAAAATCTTATTACTGAATTTATGATATCTTCAAGAAATCTTATAGAAGCACAACCCATTTCCTTTTACCCGTCCCCGTATGAAAGTTCGGAAGGAAGGCGTTAAGCTGGCAGACGGGGGTTGGAAACAGAATGAAGATAACAAATGATGTTCTATACTATATTGAAATCTTTAATAATCTCGACCTAGATTGAAATCTCGTTAGACGAGGATTTTTCATCGGGAATATTACACAGGGAAATATAGGAATAAAAATACTATTAAGTAAGATGTTACAAACGGATCTTATATTTTCTTTTTTTTAATATTTTTTTTTTATAAACTAGTACTCAGGGCACTTGATGGACAAAACTATGATGGACTAATCAAAATGCAGATTCGTAATCATCCCTAAGGACTAAGATAGAATGCCTTGTAACTAGTAAAAAGTTCTCTACATTTTTTTTTACCATACCAAACACAATTTTTTGGATTCCGTAGTTAAACAACACGTAACCTACAGTATCACCATGCCAATTTATACGTCCGCGGTTTTACTCAGAGGCCCTAGGTGCTACAAATGTGTAATTTGGCATAATTATAGATATTAATTTTCGGCGAGCACTAACCATATGAGCTACCACGGCTCTTCATTGAAATTTTTAATTGCAATTTTAAGTGCTGATCTATCACGTGCTCGGCGGTGAAGGAAAACATCGTGAGGAAATGCAAGTTTCCTCTGAGAAATAAAAAAAAATAAAAAAAATCGAAGACGTGATGTTCGCCAACACGCATTGTGGTAGAGCGGAGGATATTTCCTTGGGACCCTACAGCCTCTAACCTAACCCTAAAACCCTCTCAGATATGAAAGGAAGCCGTTGCCCAGCAGTGGGACTTATATAGGCTGTAACTATAACTAACATTTTAAATATAGATATTAATCACACCTACAAAACTGTGAAATAAAATCTTAAAAAACATTTTTTTTATTTTAGGTACCTCCGTTACATATAAAGTGAGGATGATTTTTTTAATTGTCTATGTCGACTAACTCAATTCACTATACTTCTACACTATTAAATTAAACACTGCACTTTTATCTTCATCTTGACTCATTTATACGAAATCATACAACATCTATAAAGCTTAGTGAATAGAACAATTATAGCGTAATACAATTATATTTCGAGGTATTTCTGTGATAAAACACTTTTCTTGTAGAGCGATTGCTCGTAAATTGTCTTTTAATTTTGTTTTATATTCTATATACATCTCCTCAAACTGTATATATATATGTCGTTTTTGAAATAGTCAATGTGTCTGTAATATTTGTGCATGTACAGTTAAGAAGTTGGTATTTAACCTCTCTAGATTTTCTAATCTTGCTTTTTACACTCACCGAAATGCAGGATGCATTTCGGTGAGTGTGCGCAGATAGAATACCGAAAGACTGGCTATTCTGCGCCTGTGCTCGAGACTGACAAGATTGGTTTCAACCAAATCAAGGTCACCAATGAGCCTCTTAGCACATCTGTCCACTCAGTCCAACGCTGCCAGGTAGCATTTTGCAGCACCAGCCCATATGTGGCAGCAGTACTGAATGCACGACCGGACTTGCGCTTCATGTAAGGTAAGAAGCTGCCCCAGCGTGAAGTACCGCCGCATCCTTGCAAGGATACCAAGTTTTCTTGCGGCTGCTTTGGCTCTGCACCCAAGGAAGCGCCCATGGTTTAGGTTCGAAGGAAATTTAACCCCTAACAACTGAAGGCGGTCAGTGTACTCCAAGGATACATTCCGGAAAGTAGGAGCCAAAGTGAGCAGACTTCTTTTAACGGTGAAAAGACACGCTTGTGTTTTGGAGGCGCTAAATCTCACGAGATTGGCATCACCCCGTTCGGAGACTGCCTCTAGTGTGAGATTCAAACACTCAACCATAGCCTCTCTTTCTGACTGGATTTGATCCCGACTGGCCCGGGCACTTTTGTTAGTATCTCTCCACAACTGTGCTATCGACTGCATACCCATAGATGCCGGGAATGAGGAGATCATTAATATGCAGCAGGAAGAGAGTTGCGGAGAGAACGGACCCCTGAGGAACACATGAGAACTTTAGCCGCCACAGTACCGGAAGA